CCGCCTCCCCCTCCGGCACCTCCGGCACCGGACGAGGCATAGCTGCGGCTTCGGGGGTGTAAATGGAGGCTGCTGAGCAAAGCAACGTGGCGGGAAGAACCCGCTGACAGCTCCGCCCCGCCTGGACCAATCCCGCCACCTCCTCCTCCTCCTCCTCCGTCCCCGCCGCGGCCGGAGGAATCCAGGTGCGCCGTCGGGAGCGAGGCGGACAAGTGAAACGGCGGCTGCAACCCGACGCCGCCTCCGCGCACAGCACCGCCAAGTAGCCTGGCCAGCGCGTCGACACCACCTCCACCTCCACCTCCACCACCGCCGTCGCCGTCGTTATCACCACCGCCACCTGCGCCCAGCTGGTGCAGCGCATACACCGCGGCGCCTTGCGGCCCTGCATTCGCACCCACCTGGTCTACCACCAACAAGCTCGGTCGCAAATCCCCGCCTCCCTCTCCTGACTTGCTCGAAGCATGGAGACCCAACTCAAACCCCAGGGCGCCCCCGCCCCCGCCTCCTGCAATTCTCGTGCCGTGGTAATAGGGATGGGTTCGGAGGCGGGCAAACGCCAGCGACGCATGCTCCTCCTGGCTAAGCCGAAGCGGAAGAGAGACGCGGCGGAGCGGCAGCATGTCGGCGCCGGAATGCGCGCCATGGAAGACCCCCAAACCACCGATCAAATTACCAACGCCGCCGCCGCCGCCGCCGCCGCCGCCCACTCCGTCGGACCTCAGCCCCACAGGCTCCCGCGGAATCTCATCGCCACGCACCATCATCATCTGGGGTTCCGCCGCCACTGGCACGGCTGCCGCGCCCTGCAGGGTCGGCCCCACCGCCACTGCGCCGGCAGCAACCCCGGATCGATACTGCAGGGTCTGCTGGTGCTGATGGTGGTGGTGGTGGTGCTGCTGATGGTGTACCAGGAGGACTTGCTGGTGGTGGTGGTGGTGGTGCAGCGGCTCAGACCCCAAGCCAGCCAGGGCCCCTAGGCCGCAAGCCGCAAGCTGCTCGGCATGTACCTGCGCCGCCGCCGCCGCCGCCTGCGGCCCGCCGCTGCCAACCTTGCCAGCCGACAGCGCCTGCATGAGCGCCAGCTGACCTAACAACTGCTGCGACGCCGCAGCGCCTCCACGTGGGTGGAGTCGCCCTTGTAACCCAGCTCCAACGAGACCCAACTGTCCCAACTGCCCTAACTGCTCCAACTGCTCTCGACGAAGGTCCATGCCACCCAAGCCGCCTGCGCCGCCAACCCCTCCAGCCAGGTCCAGTTGCGCCGCGACCGCGCCCGCCAGGGCAGCCGTTACTGCCGTCTGCACATCCGCCGCGCCGCCATCCAGTGACCCTAGGATAAGGCCCCTGTGCGCTCCGCCACCGCCTGACCCGGCGCGGCCAAACGCATGGCAGCCACCGCCGCCGCCGCCGCGATCGTCTTTGCTCCCGCCGGCGGCGGCGGCTGCAGCTGCAGCTGCATCAGGACCCCCAGTTGTTCCTGGCTCCCCGCTCACACTTATCCCTAGCTCCCCGGTCATCTCCGACCCAGTTGCTGCGCCCTCGTCACAGCTTTCGTCACAGACAGTCCTATCTGCGAGGCCGCCGGCTGCGGCACCAGCCGCGGCACCAGCAGCAACGTCTCGGCGGTCGGACGCACCGTCGGTGTTAGGTCGCTGGCGGACGTGCTGACGTTGCGCTGGCGCCGCCCCGGCCCCGTCCCCGTCCGACCAATGGCCACTATCGGCATCTTCTTCGCGCCGCCGCCGCCGTCCCGTGCGGGCGGGGCACGCCACCGTCACCGTTGTTGTTGGGCCGTCGCCAGCCGCTCCTCCTTCCGACATGGAAGGGTGGGATGCTGGAGAGCGCGCCACTACGCGAATCCGTGATGCGGAGGATCCTGCCGCCGCTGCGGCCACCTGGCCCGCCGCTGCGATATCCCCATCAGCCGCCGGTGCTGAACCTCCCACCCCACCGCCGCGCTGCCGGCGTGGTTTCGTAGCCGGAATGGCAGCGTCACTCAGAATCTCCTCTATTGCCGCGTCGTCTCGGAGCTTGCCGTCCGCGTCAACATAGTCAGAATAGCAGAAGTTCAGTCGCGCCTGGGTGGCGAGGTGTCCGGGGGCATGGTGGGGGGATTCGGAGCAGCGGCAACGGGACGTACGACAGACGAAGCCCGCGAGGGCCGGCGAGAGGTGTGGTGTCGGAAGAGGGCAATGTGTGTAAGCGAGTATAGCACACACGGACACACACACACACGGACACATACACACACAGACATACATACACACATACACACACGCGCGGGCAGGCGGGTCCAAGGTGGGACCGGAGAGGTATCTTCCCTCTCAAGTTTGACTTCCAGAGCGCGAGGGGGCGAGCCGAGCTGGGGGCGAAAATGAGACTGTCGGGAAAAGTGTGGGACGTTGGTGTGAATGAAAAAAAAAGCAAAGACACGGATAATGCATCGTTCGCAAGTGGATTTGTATATACGATGGAACGGAATAAACACTCCGCTAATGCTGGTGCTCATGCCGGTGCTGATGCTGATAAGGACGGTCGAGGCATCCGACGGTTTCTCCTTCGTCCAGCTCGGCGGTAACTTTTTAAAACCACCACCAACACGGACAACACGGGCAACACTTCTGGTGGGTGCTGGTCACCGTCGAATCAGAATCAGAATTTCGGCCTGGAAGGGATTTTGCCCAGGCGGCCGGGAGCAAGCTCAGCACACCTCCACAAAGGAACAAAAATCCTTAGCTTTCGCCCAAAAGTGTGAGAGCTCCGGCGTGCTAATCGTCATTTGTCTGATGCAGTCGGAACGTGTGATACGCACATAATAATACTTGTGGATGGGTGCGCGTGGACTGGTATACCGGGAAGTGACACGCGGCTGTGGTTTGTGGTTTACAAGAGGACCGCACACAGCACACAGCACACAGCGGCTGAACGAGTTGAAGCAGTGTGGTTACCTTGAGGCCGCGGATTCGAATGGCGGCCTTGTCAAACACTGCCGCCGCCTCGGCCTCCGTGTCGTAAGAACCCAGGTAGAGGTACTTTCCGGAGGAGTTGATTGCTGCCTGCCATCGCTACGGTGTCGGTCGGAAAAGAGAGGGATTCGTGGTGAATATATGTGGGGTGTATATGGGGTGAAAGAGGCTGTGTGCTATTGCCAGTCTTCCGGAAGAGTTGGGATGATGGGGGGGGAAGGAGGGGTGGTGTCGAGAGGAACAAACCGATTCATTGAAGTGCGTGATCACATCCTAGCTCTCTATTTGGCTGAGTCTTGGCCATACCCTCTACGTTCAGGCCAGGTAATTTACCTAGCCTTGCGCAAGGCGACATGGGATCATGAACAAAGCAGCATAAAGAACGTTGCGTACCTTGTTCTTCTTGTTCCAACACACACCCCTGAACTTCGACGTCAACTGTTTGTTCGAGGATATGGCCACAGCTTTGGTCCCAAAGGCAAGAGCTCTAGCACGAAGACCTTCTGCGTCGTAGCCATTAACCGTCCCTGAAGGCACTAAGCCTGGCAAAACGACTTGGCGACGCGAGCTTGCCGTATGCCGGTCCTCCTCAACATGGTTTTCAGCGTGGGCAACCCCGTCTGCAGCTTCATCTTCTTCATAAGAGTCATCTGCCATAATGCCTTTCGCTCAGGCGACAAGGATGCTTGTAACACTTTTCTTGACTCCTCTTCCTTGTGCGGGCGGAGCTTAAAAATAACATCTAGGTGGATTTAAGATCTTCGTAAGACGTTGCCTCAAGTTATAAGAGGCAGCTCCTTCCTCGGCAGTTTGGGTCATTGCATCCATAAAGTGTTACGGTTGTTGTCACACGGAGGAAGGGAACTGCCAAGCTCTTCATATTGTCGACATAATTGAGAGATGTGTGCTGCGTGTCCAAGGATACCGTATTTGCGCGCGGTGTGCTGCGGCAGTACGCTAAGGCAATCTCTACCAGCTCATCACTTTGGCGATCTTAAAGCTGTATCCATATGCAATTTTCAGAGGCAAAACCTACTCCTGTTGACGACGGAATTTCGCACTGGGTTTGTAAGCCCTCCGCTCACCGGCCACCGTAAGGACTAAGGAAGGACACGTTGTTGATTGCAACTGAAATGATAACATTAGGTGTTAACTAGGCGGCTGCCTGAATGAATCTTCGTCAACGGATGTCAATGATGTATCAGGACGCCGAGTGGGGTGGGCAGGCTTGCTCCTTATCTAACAGAAACGTACATGATTAGGCCTGCTTAAAAACTGTTTACATGGATGCGATGATGAACAAAAGTAGCATTTAGTGCACGGAAGCAAGGAACCGGAAAACGAAACGAAAGGAGTGACGTTGAAGTGTGACCGTGGCCTCAAGGCGTGTGGGGCGCTTCTTAGGTAATAATGCACGCACTCAAATCCACAAGGGAATAAAAATAAACAATAGTGAAAAGTGATGCCCACGGCAAGCAGACGCTGTAATAGAAGACAATCAGCAGGACGCGTCTATTGCCGCCCAGTGCTGTCCCGTATATGTTTGATCCAGGCAGATCAGGTCTCCAATTCTCTCATTGCTCTTGTGTGCATGGGTTGGTTGGTTTAGCCATGCTGAATGTATGGCGGGGAATCGTGCTAGTTAGGGATTCGTTAGGCAAAGCCGTTGATGTCCTTAAAGCACGAGACAGGCCAGGCCAGGCCATGCACATTGATAAAGCAGAAAGGACTGTTAACACAGGTACCTGGGTCTCACTCGCAATTCTGGAATCAGTCATATGTCCCAGCCAGCAGCGACACGTACGGGCAACCCCTGCACGCACGAGCAACTCACATAACAAGATTAGTGTTGCCAGTAGCGAGTTCCCGAAGCTGGCCGGCTTGCAGAAATAGGATCATACGCCGTATACGAAAGGTGTTATGCGGCCCGAAAGGCCGCCCGGCGACCTTAGTCCGCGGTCAATGACGAAGAACAGGTCGCGGGCCATTGTGTTTGAAGACAGAAATAGAACCGTTCCCAAAACCAGAAATACCCCGTTTGCCGATGTCTGGTTCGAGGTATGACATAAAGGTTGAGGGTTGGCGCGGTTAGCGGTTGGTGATGTTATGTTCTGTTGGCCGACAACGCGATAAGCAGACCTTTGCTGTTAGCTGAGTTCGCTCTGGATGCAATGGAAAAGGCAGCACGTATAGTAACAATAACGAGACAGGCTCACAATCCCTCAAAGTTTGCATTTGTAAAGTTGGTATGTTTGGAGATTCCGGAGAGCCCGCGGAAAACATCGCGTTTGCGTTCCTCATCGCAAGGACCTATTGTAAGCCTAAGCTTCAAAACGATATTTGACTTTGATTGCAACCTTCACAACGGCTTTCCATCTTGTTTTCTGGAAACTAATTCCAGTCGTTTTCGCAAGCACTACTCGGGACGACAGTGTCCCGCTTTAAATGCCCTCAAAGCCATAGTCCTCTTGTAATTGCTTTTAACCTGTCCTAGGGATCGCCGTTTGAGCTGGTTACGTTAACAAACAGGAACACAATAAGGCCTGGTCCTTTTACATGTCGCGACTAGGTGGTAGGCTCTGAGACCGATGGGAGCCGGCGTAAAGCTCCAAATTGAACCCTTGGCCACCTCCATAACACCACTACCACTACCACTACATTTGTTACCACTGCTACTGCCGTTACTACTGCTACGAATACTACCACCACCACTACTGCTGCCACTACTACAGGAACTGAATCCCTCCGGGTCTATTTCCTGGCCAACGTCACGCGGCGGACAAGCTCCTCCCTCCCCCGCCCCCGTCCAAGACCACAGCAACCCACCAACCGCATCCGCCGTGGCATGCCGTACTCCCAGCACCATCTCTTTTCCCTCCTCCTCCTCCGTCTGGTCCTCATCAGCTGCTGCTCCGGAACCCCCCTCCAGCAACCTAGCGGTGCCGCCAGCCCACCTCCTAATAGCGGGGGGGGCTCTCCCCTCCACCCGCCTCAACCAGGGCTACAGCCACTACTACAGCCGCAGCCAGAGCTACAGCCACAGCGAGAGGTACAGCTACAGCCACAGCCAGGGGCTTTCCGGCCGTCGGCCACCCCGCCGTGGCAAGGACCTCGCTGTCTGAGTTCCGACGGCCGCCCCCGGGACTGGTGGCTGCTGCTCAAGTACCCGGCAGGGCAGCTGGCGGCCATGATGGACAGTAACTCGCTGCCGCCGCCGCCGCCGCCGCCACCGTTACCACAGCAAACGCTGCCGCCGTTGCGGAGGGGCAACCAGGCGGCAGCTGCGCCTGACAGCCCGGGCGGAGATGGTGGTGGTGGTGGTGGAGGTGATGGTGGTAGTGATGATGATGCTGGCGGTGATGGTAGTGATGGTGGTGGCGGCAAGGGTTGCTATTGGCGTCCAGGCATCGACGTTAACGACGTAAAAGGGCCGTTACGGCGCACGTTGGCGGCGGCGGCCCAGGCGGCGGCGGCGGCGGCAGGGGCAGCTGCGCCAGCTCTGGGTTTTGCCTTTTACAATGACGCCGATCCGGAGGGCCGTGAGCACTGGCTGTTTGCGCACTCGAAGGGCGTCCTGGTGTTTGGGCCGTCTGGGGGCGTGTGGATCACACACAGCTTCCCATCCTTCCCGGCCCGACCGCCAGGCCGCCACAAGCCGCCGCCGCCGCCGCCGGCAGCGGCAGCGGATGGGAATGTGGTGGTCGAGAGTGCCGACGGTGGCGGCGACATGCGCGGGGACGGCGGCCCAGATCCCCCCTGGGACGTTGTACGACACGCACAGACAGTGTACGGCCAGCATGCTCTGTGTCTGACACTCCCGCGGGAGGATCTCTTGCGAGTGGCGGAATCTTTGCTTGTAGCAAAGGTGTACGTGTACGACCACGTCATGCCAGACAGACTTAAGAAAAAGTACGATGTAATTCAGCAGTTAATCGATGCCTCGGGATTCGATGCGGCGGAGGAATCGGCCAGCGGGGCCGGTGCCGCCGCTACCGCCGCCGCTGACGTGGCCCTCGATCTGTACGGCGATTGTCCGCGAGGCATCGCCGCCGGCGATGCGGCCGGCGGCGGCGGCGGCAGCGACGTTTCACGGCGTTTGTTGCGTTCGAGGCGCTCGCTCCGGCGGGGGCGGCGGCAGCAGCCGTCTTCCCTGACCGCGATGACGTCAGCATCGTCGTTGCTGCAATCGTCGCCGTCACACCTGCCGCCAGCTGCACGTAACGTCTCCCAACGGCTGCTAACCACCCTGTACGGCAGCACCTGGCGCCACATCACCAAGTCGCCCAGTCATGCAGTAGACTTCCATGAGCAGGTGGGGGTGTGTGAAGGGGGGAGATGTGGGGTAAGGGAGTGAGGGGGAGTCGAATGTCTGCCGTACAGGACAGTGCGTGGTAGTGGTGTCAGGTGAAGTGAGGCAATGTGCCGACGGGCGCAATAATATGTGGTGGAGTGAAACATATACTAAACGGCGCAGTTGGGAGGGAGCGGAAGGAAGGTGGGGTGAATGGAGGGGGAATGTGGGGAAGAAGGTTTGGTCGCGTGTGAAAAGAGGCGCTTTACAAAAGTGGGGTGAGTGTGCGTGTGCGTGTGTGTGTATGTGTGTATGTGTGTGTGAGGGGGGGGGAAAGAGTAGGGGAGTGATTTACAACCATTTTGGGGTTTGGGGTTTGGGGCGGCTTCAGCCGTAGTCAGCCGTAGACAGCTGGAGGGAGGTCGGGTTCCGTACTTCTAAGGATCTGGATCTGGAATTATGAAATCTAAAATCCAACATGGCACTCGCGTGAGGTCGTTTTTTAAGGGTGATTGTTTACCTTCCCGACTGGTTACCGACTGACAGGTTTTGGAACCGCTGCTAGGAACTGGTCTGGCCTGGGAGACGTGGCGCGTAGGTGCGTCGTACGGCAGCGAGTGTCCGCCGCACACGTTGTACGACTCGCTCAATGTGCGGCGTGTCGTCGTACCGGCATGCGCCGCCTGGACCGGCGGCGGCGGCGGTGGTGGTGGCGACGCTAGCAGCCACGGCGTCGGCGTCGGCGGCGGCGTCGGCGGCCGTGATGGCGATGACGTCATCGTTGAATGGGATTCGCTCAAGGATCACAGCAAATGGGGCATCAGTACGGCAAACCTTCTTTTGACAATGGACGAGCAAGCAGCCGCCTCGACAAGCGAGGCCCGCGGGAGTGACGATAGGCAGCTGGATCGCAGTCACGAACCCTGCCGTACAGCTGTTACCCCTTGGACGAGCAATCGGACCACAACCACCACCACCACCGAAACTGGAAAGAGCAGTGCCAATCGGTGTGAAGTTGGAAATGGTCCTTCTTATAGTCTGTACGGGTACGGAAATACAGTGTACGACATCACGCACGTGTGTTTGGGGGACCTGAACCGCCAGCCAAGCCAGCGCTTCCGCGGCGGCGGCTACATCTGTACGGCAGATCCACGGATCTGGTCCGCGTTCCGTCAGCTGGTGGCGGAGGTAGAGCCGTGTCCAAAACACAGTTTTGCGGGTTGAGGGGGGGGGGTGCGGATGGCGGGGGTGGGTGGGGGAAGTAGCGACTTGGAATTGTCTCGGGGCCCCTGAACGACTAATATCCCCGAAGGCAGCTGACGGTTCGACAGTTATTTGGCGGTTTTTTGGCGGTTATTTGGCAGGGGAAATTATAAGGCTAAGTCGACATTAAAAAGTAATTACAATAGTTGCAGAAGAAGTTAAGAAATCCTAACTACACAACCTCAACAACTTCAAACGGCTCTCCCGGCTGGAGAGCCACGAGGTGTGTGTGTGTGTGTGTGTGTGTATGTCTCTGTTCATCGATGTGCAGGTGGCGATTGTTAGAGATACTGGTTAGAGATTTAATTACTTTTAAGGCGAATAGAACGCATTGTGGATGTCGGCGGATCGATTCCAACAGTTTATGTGAGGCCCGGAAAAGAGGTGTTTTTGATGCAAAAAACTAACAATGTTGTGACGTACATGAGGTGCCGTACGTCAGCCGTTGTTTATAAATGCCCCGCGACGGGCGGGATGCAATGCCTGCGAGAGTTGAAGTGCGTCTGTGTACGGCATTCCCATGTCTGTCATGTGTTGCGTGTGTGTGTGTATATTTTTGCACGTATATACATGTACAACATTTGTGCGTATGTATATCTGTGTGTGCAGAATGAAAGGCGCTGTACGGCATGAGATCCAGCATCCGTACGGTTGATTGGATTCTGTATGTAACTTCTTCTAATAATCTGTAATGGCGATTGGACTGAACGCGCGACCGGACGACTGATTGCCATCGAGCCACTTAGCCGTCAGTGCATCTCAATTTCAAGTTGATGCAGGTACGTCCACGCGCTCGCATGACGACAGCAGCACATACAGACTTTTGCCTCCACACCAGACCTCCCCGCGAATGGATCGGACAGGTACGTCCCGTGGCTCCCCAACTCCCCACATACCGTACGTACATGATATACATGAGGTTTGAGGTTAAAAAGGTTTAGGATGCCAGAGCAGCGCCGTACGGCAGTCATATTTCCCCATCATGGCCGACAGAAGCCCCGCCAGCTGAGAAGGTGTTGCGACTGGGAGGGCCTGGGCTCGTGACGGAGGCGGCCATGAAGGGCGTTGACAACGGATGGTGATCATTACCGGTTGCAGCGAACCGCCAAAATATTTATTTTTATTTTTTTATTGTAATTAATGAAAATCTACGAAATGTACGACGACACAAGATTGGCAAGCGACGCGGCCCTTCCGCCGGTTATCATACGGTGGGGAAGGTGGAGGTGGAGGTGGAGGTGGAGGGGGCGGGGCCGCTTACAACCACACATATGCATATATCACACGCAGCCGATGATGATCATCTCGCCGTACATCCGTTGCTTTCACCTTCTCGTACCACAAGGTGGTTTCCTCTCATTGCCTTTTACGTCCTTCGCCCCTTGCCACTTTAAGATCTGCCTCGAGCGCTACCCAGCAGGCGTTACGCAACAGGCGTTACGCAACAGGCGTTACACATCAGGCGTTACACATCAGGCGTTACACATCAGGCGTTACGCAGGTCAGCTCACGTTATGCAGCTCAGCTCACTCTATTATGCAGCCTGTAATACCTCCAATTGCGCATAGACGGCATATTAAGACATTCATATCACACAACAACAATAACAACAACAACAACACACCTGTTGCCCCCAGAAATACACCCGCCGCTGTGCGACCTCTGTCTCCTCTCCTACACATGCATTCCGCTCTCACGAATGTCCATACTGCAGTACAATCATCGTACATCCGTACACCACCTTCACGAGAATAACTTCGTCAGGAGGCACATAATGGACTTCAGATGTGTCACGTATGTATGTATGTATATCTAAGCATAAATGCAAATTCATGTGTTTTGAGACCACCACCACAACACGGTAATCCAGGGAGGGATATCTCTCATCAACTCCGCAAAGGAAGGGCCCTCCGCGAAGGTGTGTGTGCAATCACTTAAAAGGCATATCTGTGTATGTATGTATGTATGATGTGTGAAACAGGGGGGTGTATCTTCGCCCGTGGCAGCTACCCTGCGAAACCCTGCCTTCCCCGGTATTTCGGGGCACCCTCATCCAGTCACCATAGTCAACTTCTCAGTGGATCGCTCAGGTTCCGCACCCACCACCAGCATCCAACGGAATCTGCCGGGTCGACAGCGGCCCAACTCCATTCCTGGTCGGCTCGCAGGTTAACTTTATCCCAGGTCACCACCGTCCATCAACTAGGGGCGCAATACCTTCCACCATCGGAAGGACTTTTGTGGTCGCGCCTTACCAGTAGTGCCAAACCCTGTGCATGTATGTATGTATGTACAGAACTCGTTTGCCAACCCGAAGCACCAACTCCCAAACCCCGGCTACCTTCTCGCCTTCCACGGCTATATTGTACAGATCATCACACATACACACTCACCCCACTTTTGTAAGGCGCCTCTTTTCACACTCCCCTTTACCCCTCCCGCCAGCTAATCCCCCGGCCCCCCCCTCCGGGGCGGGGGGGGGAGAAATTCGGGGGGAGGTCGCGACCCCCAAACACAAGCACCCAAGCCGTCGTACACCAACGCACCCCATATCACTGCACATACCTGGGCATCCTTGTGCCGTACAATGACGCCATGGGGAAGATTTCGGGCATCGGTTAATCTGTGTTCGTTTCCCTGTGACCCTCTTAACTGCCAACTTAGGGTTTTTCCTTTAAACGACACCTGACGACAGCGGCCCGCTCGTCCCTGTTAGACTAACCCCCAACGGCGACCTCCCTCCGCTCCTCATCTCCCTCCCCCGCCATCTCTCTCCCCCTTCCTTCCCCCAGGCCGTTCATACTTGGGCGACCGCTCGTGCTTGTGTATGTACGGCGCCGTAGAAAGCGGCCCCGCGGCTTCCCACCGTTGCTTTCGTCATCTTCCGTCACCACATCCCCCTTGGCTGTCCAAAACCCCCCAAACCCCCCTACCCCCCAAACCCCCCAAACCCCCCACATCACCCTGGCCCCCCCATCACCGCCAACACGGCACCGGTCTGGTCATCGGGTAGTTGCCCCGGGCGGGGGGGAGGGAGGCGGAAGGAGGCGGAAGGAGGGGGCCGGAGCTGGAGGAAGGGGGAGGGAAGGAGGGGAGTGGGCTCGGGCGAGCCATTTCGGTTACCGTACATTTCGGTTACCGTACTTGGAAGTTGAGACACGTCAGCCCAATGTACGAAAAGGAGCGGAAGAGCGCTACGAAGCCAACCATGATCAGGACCAGCCAACCGCGCATGTCGTATCTGCCGTACATTCCGTACCGTAAAGGACGGCCAAAGCGAGGATGAACGGGCGGAGCCGGAGGCGGGGGGATGTGAGGGGGAGGGGGAGGAGAAGGAAAAACACTGTCGTCATGTGTGTGTATGTGGGGGTGGGTGGGAAAGAGGAGGTCATGGTCAAAGTCATTCTGGATCCAGATCCACGGCATTGGATCTAAGGGGCCCAAATCGTTGGCGGGGGATATATAACTAATTAATGCAGATCCGAAAAAACGTTTCTCGTCGCTTTATGAAGCCCCCACCCCCACCACCACCCGCACCACCCCCCACCAGCAACTAGGGTTGGTCCTCAACTAAAGTTGAGAATCTAAAGTTAGAAATTTCATGTAAAAACTCAATTAGAATTTGGAAGGTCATTTTCGCACTTTAGATGACGGTTATACCGTTATCTAATGTACGACACTAGAATCCTTTAGAAATCTTTAGATGTCCTTCTGGCGGCTCCCATACGTCGCCAATATAACAGGTGATATATGACCCTATATCTATGTATTACGAATTACGAATTAGGGCTATAGCAAATGGCAGACGCAGACCCTGGTGCAGGCCTCGAGCGAGCCAAAACACAAGGATGAAAAGACAGAATACACCCACGGTAATAAGAAGTATGCACCGGAAGCGTACTATGAGAAGCTTAAGGAACTTAAGCGCAGGCAGCAGGTGGTGCACTTGGTGGGGGTTCTTCAACGTGGTGGTGCTGGTTGGCGATGCGGTGAGGCAGTCTGGTGGGTCTGCGTCTGCGGCAAGGAGTTCAGCGCCACCAATCCCTCAACCGTGGCACCACCTATGCATGTCAGGGACGTACACATGTATACAGGCCGCCTCCCGGCCCTTCACATCCACTCCTCCGCCTCCCAGTTCCCCGAACGATGACGACCCCATGAGGGCCCACCGATGAAGCCGGCTCGACACGATCCAAGCGAAATTGGACGGCGTCTGTAATTGTGACTCAATGATGAGGCGAAATAGGTTTAGGACTTTGGAGCTTAGGGGAGTGAACGGTGAACCTGTGATCGTGTTTCCTCTACTGTATGTCGTAAATGAATTCAGCCTTGTCCATTCTGTCTTGTCGCTTCAGGCATGGTCGTCCAGGTGTCGTGGGACCCACGGGTCTGGGCGTGCCACACCGTACATGTGTACGCAATTACTCGGCTATGCAGCTCCCGCAGTCCAAATCTTAATCCTTTATTTAGCATATATTCGCCCTAAATAACATTATTATAGTATTTGAGGCGAAAAGATGAAGATCCTGAGAAGCAGGCATCACTTTAGTTGAGAAGCTAATGTCATCTAATTAGATCTAATTAGATCTAATTAGATTCAGTTGGGAAGGACATGCCTTCTAACTTAGGCACAACCCTACCAGCAACCCCCCCACCCCACCCCCCACCCCAGTACCCACTTGTAACCGAAGGTCGTATCCACGAAATCCGCAACCGACATGTACTTGTCTTGGCCTGTCGTCAGTACGGCGAAGGCAAATTGCACAGCAAAATCAGGCATGAGGACACCAAACGTTGCAGGTTGCAGGCGAAATCAGTATTCGTAACCACAACCACCACCACAACCATCACCACCTGATGGCGACGTAAAAGGCCATATCGTATATCTTGCGGCTCCTAGCTAGCTGGCTCTAAGGGGGCTCTTGGGCCCTACCCCTGGCTCGTGAATGGGCACTCGTACACCCCTCCGGGTACCGCAACCGAGGTGTAGCACACACATACATACATATATATGTCTGGACTGGTCTGGTCTGGGTTGACACTACTGCAATTAGCGGTTTAAGGTCCTGGGTTCGATTCCTGGGGAGACCCCCGAATTAGTCGGGAGCGCGAGATTATGGCTAGCTGCTGAGATGTGGAGTTGAGGTCACAGTTGATGGACCAGATTCGCATAACATTACATTACATATATATGTATGTATGTGTATATTATATATATAATACACATATACATGTACATATATGTATGTATATGCATATACATGTATATACACATGTACACATACATATATACATGTATATAACAAACTACGACAAAACCTAATCTCATACGTAAAACTGAAACGAAAACAGCCCGGTTTTAACTCCCCTTTCCGTACACACCTATGGCAATCTGCTCGTCCGTGACGTCGCCCAATTGAGTGACAATACAGCCGTAGATCGAGTACCTGCGTGCGCAGGTGTGTATGTACGGATGTACGGATGTATGTATGTTTGGCGGGGTGGGGGGAGCGCGGGGAGGTCGTTGCGGGGTGGCGGGGGGAAGGCCTTCCGGGGTTTGTGGGTGATTTGTGCTGTGTATACCGTCGTGTCTGTCGCGGCGGCTACTGTGGACATATTGCGCCCGCCGATGCGACTCTTTGGGAAATGGCAAATGAATACATGTGTGTGTGTGTGAGGTGTTGTGTGCACATGTGCCGTACAACAGATCCACGCGGCGACGTCGTCCCGACAGACAGTCGAAACCCTCTTCGATCCAGAATCCAACCCCCACACCCAGGAAATCATGGCCTCCCCCCTTGCCGTACACGTTGCCGTGCACATTGCCTTACGTTGCTGGGTTGAAGTAGTAGGCCCACAACCACCAAGGCTTGATGTCCTGCAATGTACGGAAGTTCGTACGATGAGTACAGCACCGGTAAGTTAGGAGGTTAGGCTAACATCTTTCTTTTACTCCCAACCACAACCTCCCTGACCAAACCAGTAGTTGTCACTCTCACCCTCATTTAATTGATTCCGCCCTTCCAACAACCAGTAGTTACTAACCAACCAACCAACCAACCAACCAAGCCAAGGCATCCTCCGCAAACACCGTCACCCTCAATGATGAACCAAAACCCCTCCTCCCTCCCTCCCTCCCTCCCTCCCTCCTCCCTCCTCCTCCCTCCTCCTCCCTCCTCCTCCCTCCTCCTCCCTCCTCCTCCCTCCTCCTCCCTCCTCCTCCCTCCTCCTCCCTCCTCCTCC